AAAAAAAAAAAAAAAAAAAAAAGACATTTGAGTAGTTTTATATGCCATTTTTTTTTTCATGTAAATTTTATATAATTATGTTATATCGACTTTGTTTATTATGACATGTAGTTGTGTAATTAGTAATGTGCAAATAATATACATTCAAAATTGTAACAAATTAATATTATCACACTTTATACTCAACTAGTACAGATCCCGTGCGATGCACGGGGTGAACAAAATTAAGGTCATTTATCAAGTCTTATAATTATATAAATGAATAAAGAAAAATGTACGGGATATATATAGTACGTGACCTGTAATAGGCCAAAATGTGAACACGGGTGATGCACGGGGTGCACAATTTTAAGGTCAGTTATTAGTACAGAGTCCGTGTGATGCACGGGGTGCACAATTTTCTAGTATGTGTAATACAAATACATACTGTATGCACGGGACAGAAGCAATAAATGAGTTATTTCCACAGAGCTTTCCCGTTAAGTAGCTCCTGAATACGGGTGCACAATTTGTAGTACGTACTATAAAATCAGAACAAATTTCCATACAATTAGATAATAAATTAGATAAGCCTTTTTTATTTAGTAAAGATTTTACGTACTTTTTTTTTACTTATCGGATGTTATGAGATTTTTTTGTTAAATCGATTTGATGGAATATAATACAAATACAATTAGAGGATTGAACAAAATCAGAACAGATTTCTATACAATTAGATAATAAGAATGAATTAGATAAAGAAAAGAAAAATTAGATAAAGAATTTTGAATCTACCTTTTTTTAGTATATATAGACTTTACGTACAAATTTCGACTTCACCGATTTTATGAGATTTGTTTTAACAAAATCAAAGACGAACACTGAAAAATGTTTCTATTAGCATTTACAATGTGTATTTAATGTTTTTATTTTGGCAAATTATTCTTTTTAAGTGTGATATATAAATATTAAAAATACTTGAAATATTTTATAACATCTATAAAAGCATCTAAAATATTTTATATTATTCACAAATAATATTTGAAGTTACCTAAATTTTTCTAAACTACCCGTAAGGAAAATATGTCTAAAAAGTCTTCATTTGACCTTCATATATGTATATATATAGAGAGAACAGATGTGTAAAAAAATTTATACAAATAATATTTAAAAGTATCTAAAATATGAGTAATTAGACAGGTGAAATTTAGATTTTTAAAAAAAATCTATATAGATAATGGATTTATAGTAGTAATTAGACTTTTGTTTATTTACCTTTAAAGTTGTTACGATAGATGAGGGATGTGATTTTTTTGACTCGTGGAGATGGAATTTTATAAGATGGGTTATGAAATTTTCTTAAACTCGTCCATATCTATGCGATGAGTTTTTTAAGCTGGTTATATAGATTTAAAATTGTAAAAAAAAAAAAAAACTTTCATAAATCATTTGATTTGGTATTTTCGGCGAGCTTCATTAATTTAAAAGTGTAAAATAAATAAATAAATAAGTACAATTAAAAAAGTTACGGCCAGTTGTATGGAAAATTAAACTAAATCCAATTTTGTAGGATACATTAAATATTGATTAGATTTTATATGTACAATAAAATAAAAAATAACTAAAATAGTTTTACGTGTTGCAATATTTTATATTTAAAAAAAAATAAAAAGAAGGAAAATTATGAATACTACATCTAAATTGATAAACTTGCAACTTATCTTTGAAACTTGAAAATTATGAATACTACATCTAAATTGATTTCTTGAATACATTATCATGGTCATCAAGCGTAAGTTTATAATGACCATTCAATTGTATCGAGAAGATTATTACTTATCTTAACTTTCAATTAATTTCTATATCTTTTTGTCGCACACACTAATTTATTAATATTAGATATTTATAGCACATAAAATTTTTAATTTATTATTGGCTAAATTGGGGACGGCTGTGCGTGCATAGCCATAACTCCTCTAGTTGACATTAAATCTAAATATGAACAAAAATAATTAAAAACGAAATAAATATATGCTTTTTATATTTTAATAATCTCTATTATGTCCATACATTCATGTGCAAAATACTACTTTTGTTTTCTTTCATTTTGTAACATGTGTTTTTCTTTTTTTTTTTTTTCTTCATATGTCTTACTTGATATATGCCATATTTTTTTTTTCATGTAAATTTTATATAATTATGTTATATCGACTTTGTTTATTATGACATGTAGTTGTGTAATTAGTAATGTGCAAATAATATACATTCAAAATTGTAACAAATTTATATTATCACACTTTATACTCAATATTGCATGTTGTGAAATTGAGGATATTACTTACCCTACTTTTTTTTATTTGTTCCACATAATATTTAGGAATATATTTTAATACAATTCAATTTATTGAAATAGTTTGCATCTTTTTTATTAATTTTTCTTTATTCATAAGTTAATACTTTGTTTAACTATTTAAATTTATTTTGTTTAGTTTAAATTGTGAAAGATTTTTATTTTTGTTAAAATCTTATTTATCGAGATACATAATTGTCATAATTAATTGAGATAACCGTTATGGTTATTACAATTTTGTCATTAAAAATAATATAAACATAAGGACCTTTTAGTCCGTGCAATTTTTTCACAAAATCATTCCTCCCTTTATAGATAGATAGAAAGACAGATAGATGACAAAAACTGAAACGATAACGTTCTTAGTTTTTCATAATTAATAAAATGTATTTCAAAATGACTCATTTACAACTTACTACAAAACATGAAAGAGTGCGATGATAACATATTTTTTTTATAATAAAAACGCAAAATGAAAAAAGCAAACCCTATTTCCCTTTTTTTTTTTTTAAACATTAAGCCTAAGGTAAATTGAGTAGAGAACCCTCAAGACCCGTTTGCTTCAACTATTTATTTAATTATGAAAAGAAGTAATTTATGTAATATTGTTGAAAATTTTCAATTATTTTTGCTCTGGCTTGTGCAAATTTTTGGGTCCACCATTGACACCATGTACAACGAGATTTCACATTCATCTTTGTCGCAACACAAACAATAGACCCATGAATTATGCCGAGAAGACCCAAAACGAACAAAAAGAAAAGAGAGCGAGAGAGAGCGCAAAGTATACAAAGAATAATCAAATTGTAACCACGTTGAAATCACATCAACCTCATTGAATAAATAACATGTTAGACAATGCACAACTTTTTCACGATAAATTGGATAAACTCATAAAACAGCCAAAAAAAAAATAGCATTGAAGTCAATTTTTATTGATCAATCCGAATTGTGGAATGTCCTGTACAAAACGCGATCAGACACACATAGAACTCAAAACATTCCAAACAGATATGCTCCGAACGAACATCCATGTTTTTTAACATACACTACCTATCTAGTATTCTATGTATTGAATAGTTGGAGGGCTTGTTCTTGTCACGTGACGGCCTGCAAAAAATCGAACCATGCGCATCAGATGTTGCATGCTGCAACACTTATCAGAGTTCTTTTTTTTTTTTGTTGGTTTTGGAGTGGAAATAACATTAGTTACCTTTAAACTGACGAGCCTCGATTTCTCGCCATTCTTGGACAAGGGCACAACAACAGCACATGAGGTGAGCGAGAAAATCATCAAATAGCCCTCCCTGCAGAAGATTTACTTACAATATGGTACAATCAAATTATGAATATTTTGGATTAGCCGGTGTTTTTCTAGACAAAAGCAGAAATGACTTCTTTGTAATTACCTTGATGTTTAGCGTCGTACGAAGTTTCCTTCTGATGTAAAAAGTGTAGCAGCAGCATGAGAATATTAAAGAATAAGCCACCAGGTCATTACAGGCATCTGCAGAAGCTAAAAATTCAGAGGCAATTAGTAAGATCCTAAGGAGTATTTTTATTCTGCAAACAGGTTTTCAACAATGCTTTGTTGTTGAAGTTGAAGGGTGCCTCAGTAAAGTATCAATAAGTTAATTCTACTGCTCTAGAAAATTACAAATGGTTGTGCAGGCGTGCTTACTACACTTGCAATAAAATTAGATTTTTAAAGCAAACTTACAGATGTGTCTCTTTGTTGCTACAGAAGCAATCCTGGAAAACGTGCCACATGGGAAAAGGGCGGTTTTTAAGCCTGCAGTATAGAAGCTACTGAATCATATGGAGGAGGACTCGAAAAGTAAAAGGCAAAACAGTTTACTTTCAAGGAAAATTGACGAGTAAACTTTAGGGGGTATACAGAGAAGAGGTTCCGAACAGCAGCCGAGCAAATCGGAATGCCACTCGTCGATTGAACCTTCAGATGATCGTAAATTTTGTTTTAAGGAAACTGAAGACGTTTTCCTGTTTGAAAAAAAAAAGGATTGTCAATGATACTATTTATCTGAGGAGACTAACGTAAATATAAGTGCTTACATATTTGCACTGCTACACATGCACATTTGTAAGTGTAAATTTATCATCATCAATTATGGAGATGAACTTTATAACCACAATATCACAGTCCCTACAGATACATTCAATTCAGCTAAAAATGAAGAGCAAAGTGAAGGTGATTAGAAAGGATCAGAAACCAAGAGAAGATACATTCAATTCAGCTAAAAATGAAGAATACAGGAAAATCGAACCCTGAAGCTGCTTGCTTTTCAGCATTTTGTGGGCTGTTTTTATCATATTCCGCCTTGGGTTGTTTCACAATCGAACTGTCCTCAGGGAAAGGAGCTTCTGCAAAAGTTTCCATAACTTCAAGCAGATATCTAATCACTTCACTCTGGCCGACATCTATATTGGACTGCGAGTATTGCAGTTCCACTTGAAGCTTCTCATTTTCCTTTTTGGCAGCCTCCTTAATAGGCATGTCCGGATATGAACAGCAAAGGGTTTTCTGCAGAACAATCGTGTCGTGTTGCAAGGGCTCACGTCTGAGGATAACGTCTAGCACCTCTTGATCCTCATCATTCAATGTGTATTCTTGTTGGTCCCTTTCAATCAATTCGAGTCTTTCCTGAATGTCACGGAGATATGAAAATAACCATCACCAGTACAAGGTTAAGCATACATGATATTGCGATTAATAGAATGGTTGATAGAGTTCTATATTCAAATAAGACAACTGGATATCAAAGAATTCACAAATTTTCCATGCTGTAATTAGTTTCTTAAATTCAAAATGTGTAAACTGCGCAAACAGAAAAAATTGTTTCCTTTTGTTACGGTTAAAACGCATATTGCTTGTATATTCTAAACTTTGTAATTACATGCACAATAAATGTCTAATAGCACATTTTGCTTCTTCTTTTCAGATTATTGTAGGTTACTTCCCCAGATAGTTGGTTTCTACTCTACTTCATTGGCTTCACTACTGTTATTTTCTTCATATATATATATCGACACTTCACCTAAAGTTTCAATGAACTTAAGTGCCTTAGAAACTATCTTAAGACCCCTTTTTCCTGAACTGACATCTGAACTGCAGTTGGGTTTTTAGTCACCACTCCATTTGGGCAGCAGAAAGAAAAAGATTGGTGAAATGTCAATAAAGCACCAACAGCAAAAGTATTCCTAAAGTGCACAAACCAGCAAATTCTACACAAACAGCCTGATACCGTTATCCGATTGACAAAAATGAAGAACCAAAAGTCACATGAGAAAGAAAAAAAAAAAAATCAAGAATATCCACATGCACGCATGCACGCCCTTAGAAATTTCTGATTTCCGCAGAAATTTGTGCTCGCCAATTGCTGCAGACTTCATACAACACATTAAAAACTACAACATCACACACATAAACATGGAACACATTAAAAAAAAAAATCTTCAACAACATTCACATTTTTCATCAGACTAAAGTTATCAACAATCGCCAGATAAAATAAAAGAAAAATAATGATATACCTGAACACGAGCACTATTAACGAGAGCAATGAGAGGTATGATCTTCAAATAACGGTCAATCTCACTCTGAGCCTTTCTGAACTGGTAAACAATATTCCAGCCCATTGCAAGCAGGTACAAGTAGCTCCTGTCACGACAACTGTTGACCAGTACGTATGACCTCCTCAGTGCATCCTCCAGCAGCTCAAGCGGCTCCCGAGTTTCTGGATACATCCGGAGCTCGGAAACTCTGAGCGGCTCCAGCAGGTTCCCGATCAGTTTCAGGTGCTGTGCAAATTGCCGGCAGTTCTCTTTGTGCATACGGGCCGTGCTCGCGGCCTGTACTATCATCCCTATCAGCTTCACGGCATCGATCCCAGTGAGCTGGGCCACGTTGGCTATTTCCCCAAAATGCTCCCAGGAGGACATTTTCTCACCACCCCTTTTAAAAGTTGAATCTTTTTGCAGCTACAAATAAAATTTTCTTGAAAAAAGGAACAAAATCTGCTCAACCATGAAGTACAGTTACGGGTTATCGAAAGGCGAAAACCAACGGGGACTTGGGTTTAGCATTTTGAATCAAAGGATTGCACGTAGAATGAGCCAGGACGACGCAACCGTATTCGACGCATCCCGTGAAGGCAGGGCTTTGCTTTGTGTACAAATGACTTCAATTTGAGAAGGATACAGACACTAGAGAATAATATTGTTATGCTAATGCGCGCACAATAAATGGTGTAGAGGTGTGGGTAGTGTGTGTTGCATATATGTAATCTATCACAATTACGTCGGAGTGCTGTTGTCGGGACCCGCCAACGAGAACAACATACTAGGTAGTAGTAGTATACGGACGCCCTGACGGCCTGACCACGTGAGAATATTTGTTTACTTTTGTATTGGTATTTAGGATATATTTGTACGTTCCTCACACATTATATATCTAATTCCACTGTTCTCAGTATAATTAATACAATTGAATAATATTAATTCATTATTTTTACAAATTATATTAAGCTTTAATTTACTATTCGTCGGCTCACATAATTTTAACTAACCGTTTACACTATCCCTCTCATACCTTTTTAAATGAAATCAAGATTAATTATTTATTTTAAATAAAATTTTAATATAGACTAAAAATCTTATTAACAGCTAGCATATATACCATATTTTTGGAAATTAACCTTACTTA